TTGCAATTTCCTTAACTCAACAGCTACCAAGTTCTCGTTAAATATAGTACAGTTTTTAAACTCTGGTTTTGAAATATATGCCTCTGCACCGTACCGCCCACTCCATTCGGTTAGAAGACGGATATTAACATGTTTCCGAACAGACTCTAAACTTTTACCAAATATAGCATTGTTCATTAGTTTGAATAAGTTTTTCTCAAACTCATTCTTTGCAGCTTTTCTTAAATTTGTATTAAGGTCAATATAAGATTTTAGCCAAGGACTCTGTTTAAATTTTAACACTCGATGAATTTTTGTCACTATTAAACCATATGCTAAAGCCTGTTTTAGTGTGCGATAATGAATAACATATTTTTCCTTACGGTTTAAGGTAGCCATTAACTTTGTTAGTTCTTTGACAGTCTTTGAAGGTTTGCCAGTTTTAGGATTAATATGCTCTGGACAGAAAGGAAAAATATGTTATTCATTATCGCACACTAAAACAGGCTTTAGCATATGGTTTAATAGTGACAAAAATTCATCGAGTGTTAAAATTTAAACAGAGTCCTTGGCTAAAATCTTATATTGACCTTAATACAAATTTAAGAAAAGCTGCAAAGAATGAGTTTGAGAAAAACTTATTCAAACTAATGAACAATGCTATATTTGGTAAAAGTTTAGAGTCTGTTCGGAAACATGTTAATATCCGTCTTCTAACCGAATGGAGTGGGCGGTACGGTGCAGAGGCATATATTTCAAAACCAGAGTTTAAAAACTGTACTATATTTAACGAGAACTTGGTAGCTGTTGAGTTAAGGAAATTGCAAGTATATTTAAATAAACCTATATATGTCGGTCAAACGATTCTGGATTTGGCGAAGACAACTCTTTATGACTTCCATTATGGTTATATGTCCTCAGTTTTTGAAGATTGTACAGTTCTCTATACCGACACCGATTCGTTAATATATGAAATTAACAATCAAGACCCTTACGTTGCAATGAAGAGAGACTGTTTCCGATACTTCGATACATCTGACTATCCCCAACCAAATAGATATGAAATTCCCCCTGTAAATAAAAAAGTTTTAGGTTTAATGAAAGACGAAAATAATGGTGTACCAATGACAGATTATGTAGGCTTAAGATCAAAATTGTATGCAACAAAAGTGATGTATAGGACTGAGGATATTATGAAGAAGAAGAAGGAGCTTGAGGAAATGGAGTATGATCAGAGTGAAATTGAAGAAATTATGAAAAATTACGGCGTGACAAAAAAGGCTAAGGGTGTAAAGTCATCTGTGGTAAAATCAGTCATAACTTTTGAAGATTACGTTGAATGTTTAGAGAGTTTTAGATCTAAAACTGTCTCTCAAAATTTAATACGATCCGAAAAACATCAAGTACATTCAATAACTCAACGAAAAGTAGCACTCAGTCATGAAGATGATAAAAGAATTCTAATTACTGGGTCAGATGAAACGTTACCATGGGGTCATTATTCAATCAATGATGATCCTATGGATGGTAAGTTTTAAAATTGGATGTATCTTCTCAATTATATTATGCTATTTTGTTAAAATTAGTAATAAAGTGGTTAGGTATTCAATTCCTATTGCTACAAATCTAGAGAGAAATAATAAAAGAGCCATTATAAAAAAATAATAAAAGAGCCATATAAAAAATAATTCTAGATAAGTAAAAAGATGCCAATTCCCATCTGTACCCTAGTCACAATCTAGAGCCGATGAGGTTTAAAAAAAGAGCCATTATAACAAAAAATAATAAAAGAGCCATTATAACAAAAATAAAAAAAGAGCCATTCTAAAGCAAAATAATAAAAGAGCCATTATAACAAAACTAAAAAAAGAGCCATTCTAAAGCAAAATAATAAAAGAGCCATTATAACAAAAATAACAAAAGAGCCATACAAAAAATAATTCTGGATAAGTAAAAAGATGCCAATTCCCATCGGTACCCTAGTTACAATCTAGAGCCGATGAGGTTTACAAAAAAAGAGCCATTTTAACAAAAAATAATAAAAGAGCCATTATAACAAAACTAAAAAAAGAGCCATTCTAAAGCAAAATAGTAAAAGAGCCATTATAACAAAAATAACAAAAGAGCCATACAAAAAATAATTCTGGATAAGTAAAAAGATGCCAATTCCCATCGGTACCCTAGTTACAATCTAGAGCCGATGAGGTTTACAAAAAGAGCCATTAAAACAAAAATAATAAAAGAGCCATTATAACAAAAATAAAAAAGAGCCATTCTAAAGCAAAATAATAAAAGAGCCATTATATCAAAAATAAAAAAGAGTCATTATAGCAAAATAATAAAAGAGCCAATCTAGAAAAAATAAAAAAGATGCAATTTTTTATTCATTTACAATCTAAAGCCGAACTGAGTACTTAACTACTTTATTACAAGTGGATTAGGCCTCCTGGGGAAACCACTCTAAAATAAAACGCGCCATAGTTCTATCTCCTTATATTGTTGAACAATATATAAGATGGTGGGGAAATGAACTGCATAATTTTTTCATGTACCGTTTAAAGAATAATTGACATCTAGAGAGACATTATTTTAAGTCGTTGAAAATATCATAAAGAATTTTAAATAAATCATTTTTCAAATTAGCAAATTATCGTTTAGAACTCTTATTTGATGGAGAAACCCTTAATATATTTCTCATTAGAATAATTCATAGAGCAAATTAAAATTACTACATAAAATTGGTACATGGTCATACATTTTTTTAAATAAAATGTCTTCTGCACCTTTTAAAGCATCAGTGGGGAAATTAACTGCATAATTTTTAAGATAGTTTAAAATTATTTGTTCCTGAAAAATTTGTTTATTTGTTAATCTAAATAAACACACAATTTCGTTTAAACGAACACTAATCTTATTACTAATTATATTGCATTCACAACCGCTTTATCAATTTTTACAATTACAATACTTATATCTATAGAAGTATAAGGAATGGATTGAACACCGCGTTATTTGCCAAGCTAAAGATTTTCTTTATTAGTAAAATTAGTATTAATTATAAGTGTAGAAGAAAATTACTGCTTAAACAAAAATTATGTTATAGCAAAGGTGTATTATAAAATTGTGAATGAACATAAAATTATTATTTCTTATGTAAGTTTTTTCAAATCTAACAAAATGAAATCAATCGTCAGAGATTAAATGGTAATTGTAGAGGCGACTTTTTTAATGTATACACTTTTAACTTTCAGCAATCGTACTTAAAATAATTAATGTATATTAAAACAAATAAATTCTCACTCAATTCTTACCTTGGAATTTTTGGAGAAAATTCAATCATCCATGTCTAATACTTTATTAATTAATTAAAAAATTCTTTTAAATATTCTAATGCCTAATTCAAACTGAAGAGGCAATTCCTCCTTTAATAATTATAACTATTTTTCCGTTACAGTTATGTAAACCTGATTTTTAATAAAAGAAAATAATTAATCACAAACATTAATTTTGTCGACACTATTTTTTAACAAGGACCAGAAGTATGCTCTATAAACATATATTTAATTGTATGGTTGCTTCTTCAGCGAAACAAGTTTTGCGATTTTTTAAAACATCGTTTATTTCTTGGGAATACTGCGAAAACAAGTTCGACAATTACCACCGTATTGCGGATGCATCGTCTCGCTTTTTGTTATTAATTAACCTTTATTCAACACTGAAATTTTTCTTAATTGCTTCAGTATTATTATTATTTTTTAAATTTATTCATAAGAATTTTTAATTAATTAATAAATTACTTTACTACATTTGAATGAATTATCGTCGCTTACTTCCATTTTCCTAATATTTTGTAAATATTCACAAACACGCATTTATTTTTTTCAACAAGTCTCATCTTGAGTGCTAATTAATTACCCACATTTCAATAAAACGTATTGAGAATTATCTTCGTTCTTCTTATACACTCATTCGTTGTGACACCTGCCGCGAATAGCACAGCGCGGGACCTTGATATGGTCACGTGATTTGGACAAAAAAGTGCAGAATGGACCTTGGCGTTTTCCCATGTTAATTTCCATAAGGATTGCGCTCGAATTCCCCTTGCCCCTTTACTCATTTCTTAGGTAAAATGTCTTATCGAGTATATTAAATTAACTGGTTGATCCATTTTTCCGATTCAGATTTTTAAAGTGTCTCTTTATCTTTATCAAATTTTTATTGCACATTTCCATTTCCATAATGATGTCAAGTAGTTACCTCATCAGAATAATAAAATTTTTCCTTTTAGTGGGTTTTGTGGGAAAAAAATTTACAAATTTTTTGCTTACTTCTTAGTCTTACTTCTTAGTCTTACTTCTTTGCTTACTTCATAGTATTTACAATTGGGTACAAAATAGAATATTTTGAATTAGTCTTTGGATGCTCTTAGGAATTTTAAAATGTTACAAGGCGAGGATTAGAATGGGAATGATTAAATTGTTTGGAAAATTACTAAATTGAATATCCACGCGCTTTCTTCGCGCATGAGTAATGCGAAATTGTCGAATAACGGGAAAGGTCCATTTTGGATATCAAAAATAGTTACAAATGACAGGTTGCTTTATCAAGTTGACTAAAACTTGATTTGTTTTAAGCATTAACATAGACATTAAAAATCGAAAAATCGAAAAATCGAAAAATCGAAAAATCGAAAAATCGAAAAATCGAAAAATCGAAAAATCGAAAAATCGAAAAATCAAAAATCGAAAAATCGTAAAATCGAAAAATACATTTTTTTATTTTGTCTAGCAAAATGTATTTATTTTAGAATATAGTAAAAATGTTTTTAAAAATTTTTTTCATAATGTTGCAAGATTTTTCACTACAATACATTCTCATTTTTGTCAAAACACGTCAGAAACTTCAGAAAACAAAAAAAGGGTGGCCATATTCGGACCAGTTCCTCTAATATCTTCGATTTTACTGTTTGATTATATATTTTTTTTAATATTGACAAATTTATATTTTTATATTTTTTCCAGGTATGAAAGCAACGATAATATGACAATTACCTGCTCCACAAAAGTTTGTTCTTTTGGGAAACAGGTGGTGGAGAAAGTGGAAACGGAATATGCTCGATACGAAAATGGACGTTTTGTATATAGAATCCATAGAAGTCCGATGTGCGAGTATATGATCAACTTTATTCACAAATTAAAACACCTCCCCGAAAAATACATGATGAACAGTGTATTAGAAAACTTTACAATCTTACAGGTAAGTGTTTTTTTAACGTTTGAAAATATTTGTTCTACTTATTTCACTGAAAAAAAAAAGCTTAAATTGAGTTGCTGTGTACCACACACCAGAACAAAATACTCCAAAGTAGGATCAGTGCAAACTCTGCCTCAAATTAATGAATTTAAAAGAAACATAATTACTATATTGAATTATTTTCCTCAATAGTGACGCAAGTCTAAATATATAATAACATAAAAATATTTGTCAATAATTATGAAAAATAACGGCGTAAGTTAAAATAAAATATTTAAACAACTATTATACAAAAAACAGATAACTGGTGTAACTCTAAATGTGACGGTTTTGCTCAAATAGTTTGATTCCGAAACGTGACGATTTTGAACAAATATAATAACCTGCATTACTCAAGATGACTATACTCGGACAAAATATTGAAGAAGGTGATTCCTTCCTGTTCACGTACAACAATCATACTATACCAGAACATAATGAATGGAATCACGCGCTTAAAACTACAGAAGTTATCGGTATCTAGTGCCAACTAGTCATAAATGCATTTTTATTGCCATAATGAATTACGCCAGTGGCGTATAAAAACTATTGGCAAATTAAATGCGGTAATAGTAAATAATATATGAAAGTAGGTTGGTTATCTATTTTTGTAGTAATAATCATTTATGTTTATAATTTTGTTTTGTTTATTGTTAAAATATGTAAATATTACGCCAGTGGCGTAGAAACACTATTGGAAAATTAAATGGGGTATTATACTAAAACAAAATATTGAAGAAGGTGCACCTTACAACTGCAAAAGGTATCGTTATCCTATCAAAATGCACTCTTCCAGTGTCGCAGAAATACTATATTGGCAAATTAAATGGGTATTTGTGAATATTAATTACTAGATGAAAGTAGGTTGGTTATCTATTTTTGTTATAATAATTCATCTATGTTTATAATTGTATTTTGTTTATTATAAAAATATGTAAATTAAGCTTGGTATCACTTACTTGAATTCTAAATCTATGAAGTTTCGTAATCCATTGATTCTGCAGAACTATCACTGGAATCGTCTTTATCATCGGAACTTAAAGTTATGACTAAAGGTTCAACTACCGTTTCGATCATACCGTCCAAGCGCCACATATTATTTTCTTACTTAATTACATGGGAAATAGCATTCTGCCAATCTTCAGGTTTTATACGTTCTATACCGGTTTTTAATAAACTTTGAACGTCGGCTATTTTGAAAGTTTTATTTTCTCGAGCTACAAACCCTTTCACTTGTGTCCAAATTAGTTCAATAATATTGAATTCGCAGTAATAAGGGGGCAGTCTTAGTACCGTAATACCACGATCACGAGCCATTGTGTCGACAACATATTGAATATATTTATGGCGATGTTCCTTTATTAGGTCCATTAATTCCACTTTAAGCATCTCCTCAGTAAATGTTATTGCTTTATCCCGCAGCCAGGTTTGCATATCCTCTTTCCTACTGGACATTATCGGAATGCATTCAACTCGTCGACTGTGATAAGAAGCGTTATCTAGTACAATAACTGAATTTCATTCTACACGCTGTAATACTTCAGTAAACCATTTTTTAAAGCATTCCGCATTCATGTCCTCGTGGTAGTATCCTGTTTTTTTTATATAAACACAAGAGCGCTATTTTCCAAAAATTCACTGTCACTTCCGATATGGGTAACAATTAGGCGCTGTCCTTTACCTGATGGAGCTTTCAAACCTGTAGATAATCCCTCTAAAAAAGCTTGGCGATGACTAGTTACAGAAGTATCTTGCCATATCTTAGATACCGTGTGTCCAGCATTTTATATTTAAACGACTTTTATATTATTACTTTCTTTATTTTACGGATTAACATGGATTCTTTTTAACATACAACCTTTTATCAACATCAACCTTCTCGAAAGGGCCCTCTTGTCTTCTACTTGACATGACATGTGTCATTCTTAGAACATTAGTTTTATGACAACTGACATAATGGTCTTTTTCCAGTTAGGCAACTAAAACTAATCTTAACATAAATATATATAAAAGGTATTTAGCGTTTGATGAGCAAATCTAACATAGCATTAACTCTTTAATATTTCGTAAATAACGCCGTCGCCAGGACACTATATCTGACATCTCAACTAAAATTGATTTCCTACACCGTTTGACAAAACGAAATTTTAGGCCCCATAAAAAGTTTCACGGCTCATTAATGGAATTTCTTCGTTTTCTCTTATTTTCGTAAGAACAACTTTAAGTGTTGGGGCTTTGTTTTCGAAAAAAAAGAATGTACAGTTCGTCGAATGATTAGTTTTTGGTTATCGTCCAATTTCAACAATTTTCGACCACGGGTATGCGTTTTAGGGGCTTCTAAGGAGCCTTTTTTGTCTTTTCGCGTACAATACGTTCAATTGTTGAAACAGATATTCCAGTTAAAAAAGAACTGCGGTTTACAGCTTCATTTGTAGGAAGTGTCTGTTTTAGCCCATCATACACTTTCCATATAATGTTCTTTTCATCCTTTGATAAGAGTTTTCGCCGACGTAATTGGGTTTCACTTGAACCCGCCTCTGAATCCATTACTATTGTAACAATATAATTCTATTAAATTGTTTTTATTAAATTTATAAAGACACCAATATTTTACTATTTAATAAACTTTTAAAGTACCTATCTAATATACTACACAATAAATATCTCCTCGAATATGCACTACCACTATCAAATTGTAAGGCACAAACATGAACACCTATTCGTATATCAGAAAAGAGCACTTATACAAAAAAGTGTTTATAAAATATAAAATAATTATCGTAAATAGTTAAAGCGATACAAATCTAACTTCGTCGAAAGTTAGTTTTCAACTGTCTTTGTGCCTGTGCTGACAATATTCAATCTGTAACCCGTCTGTCGTTTATTTACTTGAAACACATTTTAAAACCATTAAACACGGATAACGAAGTCATTAGGGAATATATATATATATATATATATATATATATATATATATATATATATATATATATATTAAAAACGTATATTTAACGCATCATCTTTGTTTAAATAAAGATGTTGAGAAACAAATTTAATAAAGTTTACTAACAAATACCTAATAAATAATTATTTGGTATTTGATACGCCGCCTATGCTGACTCTGTCGGAATTTTCATTCATAGACAACAGTATTGATCATGCATATGACTCACCTTCTCCAATATTTTGTCCGAGTATAGAAAACATCTGAATATGTAATGGTTTTGCTGAGTTTACATATTATATTTCAAAACTGGCATAACTGCATTTTATGACACTCTTCCACATATAAAATCATTAATGTTAGTTTTTATGTATGGGAAAAGTAAAATTGCTCATAATCGTTTGTATTGTGCCCGTTTTCTCCCATTTTTGAGTGTAATAAAGATAAAAGTATATTCTATTATTATTTTCAGGTTGTAAGTAACAGAGACACACAAGAAACCCTATTATGTACTGCATACGTATTCGAAGTGTCAACTTCAGAGCATGGAGCGCAACACCACATCTATAGGCTTGTGAAAGACTAGCAGGTTATCGGTCTAACCATAACCTATCACTTCAGTGCCTACACTCTCACAATACTAGTATTATTATCAGTTACTTACTTTTTAAGAAGTACCTAGTTAAAGAAAGATAATGTAAAAAAAATGCCATTTCGAGGTATTCGAAAGCTACCTTAAATTTTCTGATATCATCCCAATTAAAAGTGAAGAATTTTCTTACTCGAGAACACGCTTCAGCTTTGCTCGTGTTTTTTTATCAAGATTTTACATTGTTGAGGGTATTTTGGTGATCTTTTATGTTGGATTGTTAAAAAGTTAGAAATTTATACGTTTCTATCCATTTTTATCCATTTGTGGCATCTAATGTTGCAGTTTACTTTATTTAAAACAATTATATTGCTATTTTGTTGGAATAATAAAACTTATAGTTATCTTATCATTAAAATGCTGTGAAACATTCTATATAAATTACTGCAAACAAATAGTTTATCAGCTTTAATTATTTTTATAAAAACATTAAGAATGGGACATACAAAATGAATTAAAATGAAAACTATCCACCTTTTAGTGTGAATATCTCGAAAACTAATTAAATTCCAAACAAGAGTACATGATTTATTTAAAAACATCAAAAAATGTAAAAATATAGTCCAAATAAGTTTTTGGACAGTGACGTAAAATTTGGAGGGGATGAAAGTGTAATATATCCATGTTTTAGGCTACTAGTAAAGTTTGTTTAACTGATTTTTTGCTGTAAGGCGTATCTTATGACTCCAAAAATGTTTACCGAATTTAGTAAAATTATATTAAAAAATTATGGCCATTAATTATATTTGAATTTTCAAACTTTTGGAAACGAGTAACATTTTACTGAAGCATGTTTCATTTAATGGTCCCATTCTTAACGAAACGCCTTGTATTTTGACCGGGTATAGAGGGACGAGACGATAGGAAATAGTCCGGACTCATAAGAATGATTTGATGTATCTATAGTACAGCAGTAAGTTATTAAATAAGTAATAAATTATTTATTATGCAACTATTAAAAATTTGGGTCACAGGTAACATTTATTGGAAGCATCAAGTTTTTATATCCAAATTTAACATACAAGAAATCTTACAATGATTTGTCGGATTGTATAAATTTCATATCTGGCCCCATACTATGTAGAGCGGCTTGCTTGACTGGTCCTTAATTTTTACGTTATTGCAGCGTAGCTGGCACTTTTGGACTTTTTGCAAAAATAAATTATCTGACATATTAAACCTCTAGCCTTTTATCATTCTCTCAGAAAATGGAAGAATATTACTTTAATAGTATTTAAGTCCAAATAAACCAGTCTATATAAAAATAGTAGAGAAAGGTCGGGAAAAGCTGACGTTTCAAAATATTCTGTAATCTTGTGACTGCACTCAGAAAATTTAACATATATGTCCTATTGGTAGCTATATCAAACACGTTTCGAGTATTAAGAACCTTTCAGTCCAATGTTACTTAAATGAAAAAATCTGAGGAGGTGCAAATTTCACTTTGCTCCCTATGTTGGTTTTAATCAGTGGAATGTAAAATGATTGTTTCTGCATTTGCCAAACACGATAAAACTTCGAATTGGAAGTGATTGTACACGTAATTTTACGTACTAACTAGACACGTAATTCGACCGCCTATTATCACGTTTAATTTATTTAAAAGTTTATAGAGAAGAAATTGTTTATTATTTTAAAACTTTCAACTGTCAACTGTCAAGATTAATGAACTGTCTGTCATATGTCAATATTGTCATTGGATCTGATTTTCCAGGACCCTCTCCTTATCCACCTTCTTTATTTAGATAATTGTATATTAGGCGCACCATCGTACAATAACCATATTTATTGACGAATGTGAAGGGAAACATCCTCGAGTAATATCAGTAAATGATTTTCAAGAAAATACAAATATAGTGCACCATTTACTCGTCCATTAAAAAAGTGTGGCGCTATGACATAATTATCCAAACATTCAATGACCATCTCGTTTGGTTATAGTAGAGTAATAGTGGAAGTTATGCCTATTTAAACATCCATTTTTAGGTTTCCGTACCCGAAGGGTAACCAACAACGGCAACAACGATGTTATGTTATGTTGAGAATGGGGTGTTAATACACTGCGACCTAAAAGATCTATTGTGTCTCCTTCTGTCACCACTGCACTAAGGAAATGTCTCAATGCCTATAGCGACCCTTCCAATCCTATTTTCTCAAGGAAGTGTAGGATTTGAAGTGGCTTCAAGTTAGGTAAATCTCCCTCTTCTATTTGATATCCTCCTAGATATAGTGCCCTTTGATTCTGGAGTGCTACACATTCAGTTAGGATGTGAATGGAGGTTTCGTCCTCCTCCTCACACAATCTGCACTCACTATCCTCTACTACTCTCAATTTACTTAGGTGTCCTTTTAGTCGGCAATGCCCGGTAAGGATCCCTGTTACAATACGTAGCCTGTTCTTGCTCAGGCAGATGCAGGCTTCCGATCTTTTCTGGTTATATTCACCCAAAAGTATTTTGGCCTGTCTCAGCCCCAAGAGATTGTTCCAATTATCAGTTCTTCTACTGCCCAATTCTTTTTTAATCTCTTCTAATATTATGTTACTGCTGATACCGAAGAACGGCTCAGGTCCTACAAATGGTGTTTGAGCCCCTTTCCTTGCAAGACTATCTGCAATCTCGTTATCCTGTACCTCGTTATGTCGCCTAGCTCATTCAATTGTTCTAGGCATCTCCAGACTATTTTTGAGCTGATTACGTAAGAGCTCAGCTCTTCGATGGCTGCTTGACTATTGGACATGATGATAATCTCTTGTCTATGATAGTTTCTCTCGATGTTAAACTGGATACACTTCTCGATGGCGTGAATTTCCGCCTGGAAGATGCTTGGGTATTTTTCCAAGCTTTCAGAGTGCTTGGTTCTCGGCCCATACACTCCTATTCCAGTTACTCTTATGGTTTTGGAACCGTCCGTATACCACTGAATAGCACGTCTTTCGGTTGCAAGCGCGATGGATTCTTGGCTCCATTCTTTCTTGCAGCCCAGCTCTGTGGTTTTGAAGTTTTTCACAAAACTTTACTTCTTTTACATTTCATCCTGGGGCATGTCCCAGGTATCTTTAGTCCTGAAGCAAGTAGACTTTCGTCTGATTACTCCGTTTCTGATCATTCTATATCGTGTCCTTTTTGCCACATTCTCTATCATTAAATGTAGAGGGGTGAGGTTTAAGATCACCTCCATTGCGGCCGTAGAACAGGTTCTCATTGCACCAGTAATGCAAACACAGGCTAGTCTTTGTACTTTTGAGATATTAGCTCTCGTAGTAGCTAGACTCGTTCTGTTACTCTAGGCTATAGCCCCGTAAGTGATGATTGGTCTCACTATTGCAGTATACATCCATCGTAGTATGTTTGGGTTACATCCCCATCGTTTACCTGCAATGTTTCTGCATACCATTAGGGCTTTTGTGGCTTTATTTACTACTTCTCATGTGTGTTCCAGGGTTAGGGTTAGGCCTAGATATTTGACTTCATTTTTCCATGCTATATCTATCCCGTCTAATTTAATGGTTTTTGAGATTAAGTTTTCTTTTCCTTGAAAAGGCTACTAGTCCCACTTCACGGCACCATCTTTTGGTATGTTCTAGTCCTCGTTGGACTATATCACACAGGATATTACTAAACTTGCCACTAGCAAATATGACTATGTCGTCGCCATAACCTTGATAGGGTATGCCGAGGTTAGTCAATCTGCATAGAAGTTCGTCTATGATTAGGCCCCACATTATTGGGGATAGAACTCCTCCTTGTGGACATCCTCTGGTTTTGCAGATGGAGATGGTGTCCTGCCATATCTGTGTCTCTGCAGTTCTCGTAGATAACAGCTGAGCTCTGTATGCAAGTGCTCTTTTTACAGATTCGTGTGGCGTGTTGTCAAAAGCTCCTTCTATGTCTAGGAAGGCACACACGACCGTTTCTTTGTTTGTCAGTGCATCCTGGATTACATCAGTCAACTGTACCAGGGCAGTTTCTGTAGATCTTCCTGCTCGGTACGCGAACCAACAACGATACCCTCTTACTAAGCCTCCGCTGTCCATCCATCTATCTGTCTGTGGACTGTATTTAAGGATCCCTAATAGGTAGACAGTTCAAATTATCACAGAATGTGTATTTTTGTTGTACCATTGTGCGGAACCCTTCATGGCCGAGGCAGACTTGCACTTGACTGGTTTTTATGCAAAATCGATTTCTCACACCACAATTATCATTTAATGTTAAAAAATATCGATAAATATTAACTTTAGGTATAGGGAATGCTTGATAAAAATGGAAGACTTATTGCAGAGGGTTCTACTGGTGATATAAAATATAGGGTGTCCGTTTTAAATAAAACATCATAATCAAAGGTCTGAGTCTTGAGTCACCCTGTATAAGCATAGAATAAAAACTTTACTAAAGAAAAGCGTAATTCATGATATTAAAAAATTCGTAATGTTAAAAAAAACTAAAAAAAAAAACAGTATGCAATTGGTTACATGGCGCTGATTTACTTACGATTTGTATACAAAAGTTCTAATTTATTTTAGAGTATACTCTATATAACCTAAACAAACCATATTAGAAGAATGGAAAAAATGAAAGTAATTTTAATCTAAAGTAATAAACTGGTGTTCTGGTTTAAAAAACATATTTGATTCGTACTTGAGTCATGCAACACCCTTTATACATAAATATAATTTTAAAATGTGGCTCTCAAGTTATCCTATAAATTTTGTTAATACATTTTTTAATATCTCTTATAACAAGAAAAATATCAAACTTTTCCACAATATTGGTACATCCTGTATATACAGTTTGGTGCAATATTCTGGTATACACAGGTTTAATATGTTTCTTGTCGAAAAATTTCATTAATTTTTGAAAAAAGTCCAAAATTACCTGACAAATTGTAAGCTCCGGCAACACCGCAATAACGTCAAAATTAAGTACCAGTTATTTTAGAGTACCCTGTACCATATATTAGAAGAATTAAAAAAATGAGAGTAATATTCTAAAATAATGAGCTGATGTCCTGATTTAAAAAAAAACATGTTTGGTTCGTACCTGAATCATGCAGCACCCTGTATACTTCAATATAATTTTAAAATGTGGCGCTTAAGCCATCCTATAAATTTTGTTAATACTTTTTTATTATCTCATACAATAAGGAAGTCAACTTTTCCACAATATTAGTACACCCTGTATATACAGTTTAGTGCAATATTTCTGGTATACACAGGTTTAATACGTTTCCTGTCGAACAATTTCATTAGTTATTGAAAAAAGTCCAAAATTGCCTGACAAGTTGTAAGCGCCGGCAACGCCGCAATAACGTCAAAATTAAGTACCAGTTATTTTAGAGTACCCTTTACCATATATTAGAAGAATTAAAAAAATGAGATTATTATTCTAAAATAATGAACTGGTGTTCTGATTTAAAAAAAAAAACATGTTTGGTTTGTACCTGAGTCATACAGAACCCTGTATGCATCAATATAATTTTAAAATGTGGCGCTTAAGTCATCCTATAAATGTTGTTAATACTTTTTGTATTATCTCATACAATAAGGAAGATATAAAACTTTTCCACAATATTGGTACACCCTGTATATACAGTTTGGTGCAATATTTCTGGTATACACAGGTTTAATACGTTTCTTGTCGAACAATTTCATTAATTTTTCAAAAAGTCCAAAATTGCTTGACAAATTGTAAGCGCCGGCAACGCCGCAATAACGTCAAAATTAAGTACCAGTTATTTTAGAGTACCCTTTACCATATATTAGAAGAATTAAAAAAAAATTAGATTATTATTCTAAAATAATGAACTGGTGTTCTGATTTAAAAAAAAAAACATGTTTGGTTCGCACTTGAGTCATCCAGCACCCTGTATACATCAATATAATTTTAAAATGTGGCGCTCAAGTCATCCTATACATTTTGTTAATACTTTTTTTATTATCTCATACAACAAGGAAGATATCAAACTTTTCCATAATATTGGTACACCCTGTATACATAGTTTGGTGCAATATTTCTGGTATACACATGTTTAATACGGTTTTTGTCGAACTAATTAATTATTGCAAAAAGTATAAAATTGCCTGACAAATTGTAAAAGTCGGCAACGCCGCAATAACGTCAAAATTAAGTGTCAGTCAAAGAAGGCCGCTTTATATAGTATGGTGCCAGAGATTAGAATTACACTATCACTCAAATGATTTTTCTATTTCTTTTACGTCAAATTTGAAAATAAAAACTTGATACTTTCAGAAAATATTGCTTGTGACCAAAATAAACTTTTAGTAGTGGCATAATACATAATTTATTATTTATTTAGCTAACTCACCGTGGTACTAAAAATAAATTTAATCAATCTTATGCTCCCTGACTAATTTCTTCTTTTTTGCCTCTCTAAGCCCTGATATTATAATCATTTACGGCCACTAAACCATTAAGGGCAGCTAATTTAAAGTGAATACAGTGTGTGCCATAAAGTTGGATTTTTTTAATATTGTGATTCGATAAAGCGTTTTAAAAACTTAAAATAGCCCAAATCAAAGTTAGCTACTGTCAATAGTTTTTTGTCAAATTCGCATCATAAAAAATTTTTTTGGACGATATTTAAAAAAAAATAACAATTTGACAGATAACTTTAATATAGGCCCTTTTAAATTTTTAAAAAAGCAGAGTTAAATATTATACTACAAAAGAAATATCTATTTCGTTGAAAAACACTATTCGAATCGTTTACAAAAACGAATTGCATCTAGAACGACCATTAAAAAGAATAACAATTCTACCAACTTGAAAACAATAAATAACACTAAAAATGTAGAAATGTTAAGGTAGGTTCACATTGTCATAAAATTGTTACTTGCAATCGTAATATAAAAAAAATTCCCATGGATCCAACTTTATAGAACACATTATATAATATTAATCAATTTAAACAAACTTTATGTTTATTGGAAAATTAGTTTCAAAAAACCTTCTTTGTCAGCTTCTAACGCTTTTTCGACTTTTTTTTAAGGTCTACTGTAAGTGTATTGAGGCTTCAAACGTTTCTTTTTGTCTAAATTGCATTTGTTCATACAGAATTAACTCTTTGACAGTATTTTAAAGCCAAAAATTATATGATTTATTTAATTATTATATTTTTAACGTGTCTGTAATGTTCTAATTTGATGTAACATTTTAAAACATCTCTAATTCATGATTATTTTGTTTTGTAATGATGAATTCTTAATTTAAAATATTCCTGGTTTAGTTATCTATACGAAACATCGGCCTTAACAATTAAAACTATGTTAGGTTCGTTTTTTTATAACTTTATCTTTATTTGCCTTGTACTTACAACATTAGTTGACAAATCATTATTAAATTAAATAAATTTATACCACCTTTTATAATCTAACAAAAAAGATCACTTTAACTACTAAAAATATTGTATATTATTTTGCAACGTACTTCTAGTTTTATAAGTTTTTCCTTTTGCGAGTTTTGGTTTTATTTTTTCTCGTTTAGGTAATTGAACAGATACGAAAAAAATTTATTTATCTTTTTTGGGACGAACTTACTTTTAGTATCTCAATAAGTAGATCACAGAACAGATAACTATTTATTGTAAAAAATGATATTTAAGAAATTAATCTGAACTTTGATCTACTTTCCCTTAGATATAATTTTTTTTACTTAGGTTAATATTTAAGTAAAGTTTGCTCTTTGTGATGATAATTTTTAACAATTTTATATATACAAATAGATATATACATATTTAGATTTCTATCTGATTTTTCTTTTTTTTTAATTAAAATACCCAGTATTTTAGTTAGTATAGTTTTTTTTGCCAATAACAATGTTATAGCTTTAGATAAGATGTCTCCACAAAATTCGCATGATGTACCTTTAAGGTACCGATTGGAGATTAAAATCGAATTTTGTGGAGTACATTTTCACTTATTTGTGTTCAGTTTGGCTCAAATTTTTGCCAAATACGTGGTACCCAATGAAATTTGATGTGAAAATAACTCGGGACATTCAGATTACATGAACAGAATTTACTAATTAAATTTTTTTGTACTTAACCATACTCGTATTATATTTTTAAGAAATGTGTAATAAAATTTGTATACTATTGAATTATTGGGAAATATTTTTATAATTAAAATTATCTATATCGGTAATAAATGAATGTGGGTTTGCCCAATAATGTCAAAAGGTGCGGTTTATAGAACTCGATCATTTATTCGAAGATTTAAGATGGAGGGAAAAGAAGTCCTTTCAATATTTTCGTATGTCATATTATTAATAATAATAATGGCTTCTCTGCAATAGATTATTATAGTATTTGTAAAAGGCTTGGTTTTAGAGTACTCTGTATACCATTTTTTAAATTGAATTAATATAATCATGACTAGGGCTGGGCAATTATCTAATTAGACTGGGCCTAAAAAATTGACTTTTTTTTTTTTTTTTTTTTTTTTTTTTTATCGAAAATGTCATTCAGGATGACAAAAAAAATTTCGAGAAAATTTGAGCCCTTAATATTAATTTT